TATCACAATAGGCAATAAGTGAGGTTACCCTAAGGGTTCATGTGTGCAAAGTGTGTTTGATTGTATGCATTTTCTTTGAATTTTAGGTTGTCTACTTGTTGATTTTATCTTGCCATACACACCTAATTACTAGCATTTGTACAAAAGCAATAAAAGTGCAAAAAATAAATCCTACACTATTACAACCATATTGAAGTGCATAGAAAGATAAAGACAAAAATAAGATAAAAAGAAGGAAAATGAGTGTCTTTCGATTGGGGCAGGAGAACTCTTTGATTGGCATTTCTGGGCCTCCTTCGATTGGGACTGACATCTGCATGGTCATGGCCTTCGAATGGGAGTTTGCTCCAGTAAGGTCATGGCCTTCGATTCTGGCATTCAGGGGCTGGGAAGTCAGCATATGGTATCCTTCGACTGGGCCTATAAGTAGCAGGTTGTGCCTTTCGATTGGGGGATGGCACCAGTGAGGTCATGTCCTTCGATTGGCCTAGAAGTCAGTATGTGGCGAAGCCCAAGGTTCTGCCTTTCAATTCTTCCTGAGAACCAGTGTGGTTGAGAACCAGTGTGGTGCATCCTGCCTTTCTTGGATGTCAGCAAGGAAGCCCAAGGCTTTGTTTCGTGTTTCCTTTCCCCTGTTTCTTTCGTTTAAGGAATTAAATGGCAACATGGCCAAAGGCCATGTTGATACTTGTCTTGCAAACATTATAATAGTTAAAACATATTTAAGTAAACAAGGAGCAAAACAAAAGGGGGGGTTAGCTCTAAAAACATGTTAAGGGGGTGGAAACGAAAAGAGCAAAAAATGTTATGTACATGCTTGAAAACAAAAAGGCGTTGTATTTACATGTGCTGGAAACGAAAGATGCAAGGGTAAAAGTGACTTACCTTGCTGGAGGTTTTGAATGGGAGCTAGACCTTGAGTGGAGGCCCTGAGTGTTTCCTGGATTTGAAGGGAGGGGCTTGAAATAAGGCCTGAGATACTGGATTTGAAGGAGGACAGAAACAAATATTATGTTTCTTTCTACTGGATTCGAAAGGAGCTAAAGCGTGGGGACTTTTCAGAATCGAAAGAGGGAGATGTTTAGGATTCTGGGTTTTTTGATTTCTCAAGTGTTGATGAACTTAAGAGTTTTGTGTTTGTGTTTGAGAAAAAATTGGAGATTCTTTTCGCCTCATCCAAAAAGTCCTCATTTTCCTTGTTCATGGTTCCTCTATTTATAGAGGAAATGTTTGGGAAATTTTGAAGTAGCCAGCCTTGCAAAAATAATAAAATAATAGGTAACGTGAAAGGTACAAGCGTGGGGGGCTGTTGGCAGTTGATTAGACTTGTGCTTTTGCTTGTACTCAGACAAAATAGATTTGGGGGCTCAAGGAGCTGACTTGGTGATTAAAATAACCTTTATGAAAATAGATAACGAAGCTTTTCGTCATTTCGTCCAAAAATAGTAATATCTAATGGATAAAACTTCGATTATGTGTGTAAACCTCTAATTATACCAAGATTTGGAAGCAACAGCCTGACAAGTAAGATTTGGTCTTGGGATTTGTTCAGACTTGCTTCAAACAAGCTTGCTTCGAATGGCCCAGACTGGATTCGAAACATGCTGATTCGAAAGGAACCGAAACTTCAAATGAAGCTTTGTAGGTAGATACTTTTTTTTGAACCAAAGGCTTGCCTTCCTAGGGGTCACATGTGGCCAAACGAAAGAGTGTACGTGAGAGGCCAAAAGTCCAAACGAAAGGTTTGACCAAAACCTTTTGCTGAAGGATTCATGTGCCCTAACGAAAGGTACATGCTGGAGGCCAAAATGTCCAAACGAAAGGTTTGACCAAAACCTTGTGTTGAAGGATTCATGTGCCCAAACGAAAGGTACATGCTTGAGGCCAAAATGCCCATATTCGAAAGAGGCACATAGGAGGCAAAAAGTGCAAATCGAAGGATGCTAAAAGGGAGCCTTTTGCCTTGGAATCGAAGGAGGCTACAGTAGGATTTTTTCCTTGTGCCTGCTGGTCTTGTGGGTGCCTCTTGCATGCAAGAAGGAAATTATGACTCAATCAAAAGCCTGTACGCAGCAAAACTTGTCCAAATCGAAGCAGGCTTGCAGGCAACATGTTTATCCAAATCGAAGCAGGCTTGTAGGCAACATGCTTGGTGAATCGAAGGGTTTGTCTTGCAAGGGGCCCTTGGTGCAAGTGAATTTGAAGGATGCATAAAGATGGTTATTTTGTCCCATCGAAGCTTTCCCCAAACGAAGCAACATACAGGCAGCATATGCACACTCGAAGCAGGCTTGCAGGCAGCAGGCAGTAGGCAGCATGTGCCTAATCGAAGTAGGCTTGCAGGTAGCATATGCCCAATCGAAGCAGGCTTGTAGGTAATGAACTTGTCCAAATCGAAGCAGGCTTGCAGGCAGCTAAAATTGGTTTTCAAAGCAAGCATGCAGGCAATATGCTTGGTGAATTGAAGGGTTTTCCTTGCAGGTGGCACTTGTGGCCAACAAACTTGGTTTTCAAGGTGAGCAATGTAGGCAGCAAAAGACACAAACGAAACCTGCAACAGGAAGTCACAAGTGTCATATCCCAAATTTTCCCGCCCTTTTATTTCTACAGTCAAAAATATTTTAAACATTGTTTTTATAATATTATTTAATTTTTATAAATGTTCATTCTCAAGTCCAGTAAAAAATATTTTAATTATTGATTTTAAAATATTATTTTATTTTTATAAAATATTCACTTCCAAACCTGTTTAAAAATATAATGATTTATTTCAGATCATTTGTATTTTTGAATAAATAAATATTCCCATACATTTCATATACTTTCAATTGAGTTTATTTACAAATGAGTAACATAGTACAATTGGTAAAGGATGAAGCTTTCAAATATAAGGTCATGGGTTTGAATCTCTTGTGCCGCACTTTCAATATTTTCTTTTCTTTTTTCTATTTTTTTGTCACTAATTTTCTTTCCTTTTTAAATAGGTGTTGCCGCACTTTCAATATTTTCTTTTCTTTTTTCTATTTTTTTGTCACTAATTTTCTTTCCTTTTTAAATAGGTGTTTCTTATTGGCCATTTGATGTCAATTTGTGTCACACCTTATTTTTTATTGGTCAAGTTTGTTTTATTTCCAATTTGGATGATTTTTTTAATATATAAATAAGACATGTTTTTCACTTCTAGATCATCTAGAAATTTTACAATTCATCCACACAAAAACTTGCTTTTTTTCTTTCAAATTTTTATAATTCTTGTTCTTAGTTTATTATAGAATTGTTGTCTATATCAAACAACAATGACAGTTTCTTTATTAACGGCCGATGATTTTCGTATGAGGCCCCTCCCTTATAATTTCAATTTTTTCTTTATCTTTTTCATATTTTAATTTGTTTGTTGTCCTAACCACATGATGATACATGATGATATTTTGATGGTTACGTTTATTTTAAATTATATTTTCGTACTAACTTTTTCCTTCGAAACTTTCACTAACACTCACACGACATTCCCTTAATTTTGTCTATTATTTTTTGGTCAAACTAAATAGTTTATCATCGAAAACTAACCTTCCCGTTGAAAATAGAATTTCATCATTAAACCATTTTTTTACCTCGCTATTTACATTACTTAATTTTACTGATTTTCTATCTCTTTTTAACTAATATTCTTACTAATTTTTTCTAACAATTTCAAAACCCACTATTTCTACCACTCGCTTATTTTATACAGTAGAACCATACCAACACAAACCATTATCATCACCATTCTAAATTCAACCAAGTAGGGGTGTTCAAAAAAACCGGTTATCCATAACCAAATTGATATCTAAATTGTTTTAATTTTTAAAACCCAACCCAAATACTAAAATCTGGATTTGGTGACCCATTTATAATAAAAATGGTAAACCGGAACCCATAAATTTGATTATTGGGTATCCAAATATCATTCTTATTAAATTTTATGCTTTCTAAAAAAATAAGCTTCGTATATTTTGAAACACTGTTTAATTCATTTCAAATAAATGACCATAAAATAAGTTTTTTAATCGGGTTATTATATTGTTTTTACTGCGTTCCTATTATCTCAGTTTTGTTGTGGGTTCTTGGTGGTTTGCAGTGTTCTTTTACATGCATTATATTTGTACTGGTTTAGTTTCTTTTCGGTCTTCATAATTATTGATTAGTTTGTTTGAGTTTCATCATTTAAAATATGGATCATTTTATTAAAATATTTATGTGCAGAGACTTCATTCTAGTTTTATTGGTGGAACTTGTGCATGTTCTATACCGTGCATGAAAAGTGCAAGTTAAATAATAATATATATGATATACTAAAACCGGTTTAAAATTTGTTTTTTTTTAAAACTGATTTTTGTGAGAAACTGGTTTAAAACCGAACCGATCCACTTGGAAACCGGTTTTAAAAATATAAATCGGTTTTAATGAAGTAGTTTTAAGATCCAAACCAAACCATATATATGATTCAATATGGTTTGGTTATTGATCCATGCACACCCCTACAACCAAAACAAACATTTCCATTCTAATCCAGATAAACATATACTGTAATCTAACTTTCACAAGCTCCTCCTGTCAAAACCATTAACTAAATTTCATTAAAGGGTACAACACAACATAATACTTGATGCTAACAAATTGGTACAGAGGTTTATTTTCTTTTTTGCATAAATATGAAAAGAACAAAACAAAGTCATCCGCACAACATCTGCCATCTCTCTATGATCCACTCTCGCCGGCGACTTCATCACCTTCGACGACAACACCTCGAAGCTACGACGCGGACAACTGAAGCTCCAGCCGCACCCTATCTCCACAGACTTCACGCGTACAGACCGCCTTGCCGTTCAAACAGCTTCGACCTTCCTCACATCGCGATTGCAACACCGGCCGATCTCGCAGCACGACACCATGAACAACCAGCCAACGCTCTACTCAACGTCTGAAAGCAACCGTCGAGCCACTTTCTCAGATCCGCCGAATCACTTTCTCAGATCCGCTGAACCCTTCCTCCGCAAATCCATAAAACCACCTTCGTCATCACCAACTTCTGGCCATAGAGCCGACACCGTGAGTTTCCTTGGTTCTTCCCCTTTTTTATTTTGTATAACAGTTATTGTTATGATTTGTTGGGCAGAATTTGAAACATGGGGTAAGGAAGAGGATGAGAGACCATTGAAAAGAAAAGGCGTGTACTGGTGTTTCTGTTTCTCATTCATAAATTGCTTACCTCTTTATTTAATTTATTTATTTGTTAATTTATTATTATCCCAATCAATTGTTACCACTTGTCACTAGCATTGGTTATTGCAATTGTTACCACTTGTCACTAGCATTGGTTATTGCAATTGTTTTCGAAAACCAACTTTCAGAGGGAGGTACAGTATGAGGCGCTCCACCATTCATCTTTAATTCATTTTTGTTGTTATTGTTAGCTTGATTAATCAAATAGTTAAGTTAGGGTTTTAGAGAAGACATTGGGCCTTGGGCTTCTAATTTACCCTCTCTGCTCTTTTACCAATTAACACCTATATATTCTATTCACACCCTGTTTTAGGTTTTGCAATTAGTTTAATTCCTAATTAATTTATTATTCCTAACTTATTTAATTAGCTTAGCTAACGCAATTAGCTTCTTGATTAAGTTAATAACTTTTAATCAAGAATAATTAATTCAATATTTCTATAAATAATAAGATGTCCATCCTCGATTAATTAAATCGGTCGACACATCGTCTACCGGTTTATCATTCAAAATCAAACAATAAAAATCTATGCAACTCACCAAATTACTATATCCGCAAGCGACACGTGGCCAATATCTGGCTACGTGATGAGGAGGTTATATCAGACTCCTTTGCTCTACGTCTTAAATTAGCTAATCAACAACATCAAATCATTTTCTACTAACATAATCAAAATCAGGATATTTTCAAAAAGGATTAAATAGCATCGCCTTCGAATCAAACTACGAACTGCGTCTATGATCACTCAGTTTACAACTCAGACAAAGTTCAAAGTTAATTCGAAAGCAATTCTATGCAATCCATAAAAAAAACACAAACCAAACACCGTGAACTACGAAAATGAGACTCTGATTCCTTCTAAGGAGGATACGTAGGCATACGATCAAAAATCGTTACGAGTCCCGCTAACTAAAATTAAAACCCTTTTCCACTAATTATACTTAAAAACCCTATTTCCTAACAATGCGCTTCTAAACCTAGTATCCTTGTGAACAAGGTAGATGAGGGGTGCCTAACACCTTTCCCTCGTCTAGAACCGAGTCAAACTTAGAATCTCTGAATTTCTTTTAGGGTTATTCCTTTATACTCCCTTCCTTTAGGATAAAAATTAAGGGTGGCGACTCTATCTAAAAACCAGTTGCAACAACAAGCCCAGGCGAAAGAGGCACGCTAGCATCCATTTTGAGCAATCGAAGGAGGCCAAGAGTCAATCAAAGGGTGCTGATCGAAAGAGGCCTATTTTTCTCCAAATTTGTCAAAAATGTTATTTTTATCTGTTTTCTCCCTTTGTGACAGTTTCCTTTTAATTTTGGTACTGGAAAATCCCAATGCACTTGTGCAAGCCTGAATCCTGAGAATCTTTATGAGAAAATCCTTGAGAATTGAGAGGGAAAATTTTGGGGTACAACAGAATGCTCTGCCTTTACAAGTCAACTGAGTTAGTGGAAGTGCTAACTTATAAAAACCTTCAATAAACCTCTTGTAATAGCCAGCCAAACCCAAAAAGCTTCTAATCTCCATAACTGATTTTGGAGTTTCCCACTGCAACACTGTATCTACCTTGGAAGGGTCTACAGCGATTCCACCACCTGAAATAACATGACCAAGAAAAATAACTTTCTCTAACCAAAACTCGCACTTGGACAACTTGGCATATAGCTTCTTCTCTTTTAACACTTGCAATATAACTCGCAAATGCTCAACATGCTCCTCTTCTGATTCGAAATATATTAAGATATCATTGATGCATACTACTACAAACTTATCCAAATAAGTATGAAAGATGTGGTTCATATACTCCATAAACACACCTGGCGCATTAGTAACACCAAAAGGCATCACTGGATACTCATAGTGTCCATATCGAGTTTTGAAAGTTGTCTTCTGAATATAGTCATTCTTGACTCGAATTTGGTGATAACCTGACCTCAAGTCAATCTTGCTAAACATGCATGCATCCACCAGTTGATCCATTAAGTCATCTATTCTCGAAATTGGATACTTGTTTTTTATCATCGCTTTCCTCAACTGTCGGTAATCTATGCAGAGTCTCATACTACCATCCTTCTTTTCACAAGTAACACCGGAGCTCCCCAAGGCGATACACCTGGTCTAACAAACTTCTTCTCAAGTAAGTCTTCCAGTTGTTTCTTCAATTATGCCAATTCAAATGCTGACATTCGATAGGGTGTCATAGAGAAAAGTTTGCTACCTCGAACAAGATAAATAGAAAACTCTATTTCTCTCTCTGGCGGCACATCTATAATATCATCTGGGAAAACTTCGAGAAATTCACGCACCACCTGCAACTCATCAATTGCAGCCAGGTTCTCAATGGATAAGGACACCATTAATGAAAACACTTGAGCTTCATCTTGCATCGGTTCATTCAACTATCTAGCAGATACAAATTTAGTTTCCCACTCCCCATCAGGATTAGATAACTGTACCGGTTTGTTGTAACAGTTAATATGAACATAGTTGTATTCCAACCAGTTCATACCTAGAACCATGTCTAGACCACTCAACGACAAACAAACTAGATCAACAACAAACTCGATGTCCTAGATGGACAAAGGGCACTTCAAGCATACTAGGGAAGTAGTCATTGATCCCTTAGCTGGAGTATCGATAAACATTTTCCTATTCATAGAAGACAACACAAGGCCTAACCTTTTAGCACAATCAGCAACAATAAAACAATGCGTAACACCGGTATAATAATAGTAATTAAAGAAGTACTATTAATAAAGCAAATACCTCTAATTAGACGGTCTCCACTGGATGTCTAAGTTTCGACTAAAGGAAATAATTTTCCACCCGTTTGAGATTTCTTAGATTTCTGACATTGAGTACTGATATGTCCTTCTTCGCCACAGTTAAAACATATTATTGCCTTATGTATGTAATCATCTATCTCATGCCCAGTCTTACCGCAACGGAAATACTTCTTCACTTCCCCAGTACATGCATTACTTCAATGACCTAGCTTCCCATACCTGTAACACACGATGTCAACAGGAGCACCTCCCCCACTAGTCCTCCTACCATCAGTAACCCTTTGTTTGCCTTTGTCATTTGGATCATTGTAAGGCTTCCCACAATTCTATTGTTGTTTTCTTCACTTCTCAGTTATGGCCTTGTAGTGACCCTTTGTTGTACCCCGAAATTTGCCCTCTCTTTCTTCAGGAAATCATCTTGGATTTTCAAGGTCCCTCTGAAACAAATCCAAGTCCTGAGTTATCATTTTTTGCCCAAGCAGACCATTTACAAGAGCAAGATGATCACACAAGCTCTAAAGACAACGCTTTTGTCTTGAAAAAAAAAATTAAATTCTAAACACTTGAAATGTTTCTTTTAAAAAAAAATGAAAATGATGAGTGTTTAAGAAAAAATCAGCGTTTCAGAACTTCTGGACCAATTCCGGATAAAAAACGGTCAGAAGTTGCAAGCTTGGCTCAACGTAGTCAGAGGTTGGCTCTTCAGCAGCTACATCAGCTCAATCAGAAGTTGTAAACGTGGTTCAGTATGAAGCCTCAGACAGAATATGACTCTTTCAGCAGTTACGCAAGCTCAGTCAGAATTTGCTAAAGGAATGCAAAAGAAGCAGGGAAGTCTGAAGGCTCTTTCAGAACATGCTGAAATCAGAAGATGAAGAGGTCAGAAGAGTGGGTGTTACACTGATACAGAATCTCTAAGCCCAGGAGGTCCAGAAGCAAATCCAAGGAACGTATCAGAAAATCAGGAGAATCCCCAGAACTTACTAAGACAAAAGGAAGCCAAGGCCAGAACATGGTTTACGCTGTTCTTTTTGAAACAGAACTGCTGATTCAACGTTGGTTTCCATTACCAGAATATTGATGTTGATAGGTCTTATCACCATTTAATGCTCATTAATGCTTCCAACCACTCCTGAACATTCATCCAAGTAATCCCTTCACGTGTGACTTGGAAAACGCCTTTATGCAGATTCTGGCATGGGTCTACACGCCACCGCCCACTTAAGAGGTCACTTCTCTCCAATCCACGCCTGCTGCTGCAGCCTAGGCTAAAGGCTATCTGTTATCACAACTTCCCAGGAATTTATGTCAAAGAACAATTCAAACTCTGTTGGCGCTTTAATGTTCAAGGCACCCACAAGAACTTTGCCTATAAATAGAGAGTCATTATCCACTGCAAAAGCGCGTTCAAGAAACAGAAAAATTGCTAAGAGAGAAACAGAAACCCTTAGCAAAATAGTGTTCTGAAACTCTGCCAAAATCTCCAGTTTGTTTCATAACTTTGAATTTCTCATCTTCAAACTTTATCCAATACCTAGTTTTCTGTGTGAACTAAAAAACCTCTTTTCAAACTTCTGACCCTATATACGCATACACCTTCACCTGCCTTTTTTTCCAAGAAGAATCTGTCCAGAACACCACCAGAGGCAAAAGCTAGCTTTCACCCACAAGCTTTTCCAACAGCCAGGTAAGCACCTGCTGACCTTCATCACGCTGCTAAGCATCATCAGTTGTGCATACTCAAATAAACATAATGTAAATATCATGTTGTTGCTGTTTATATTCTGAGGATTTTCATACCTCAGAACGTTCTGAGCCAGTGTAGGACTTGCCTGTGACCTTGTTGGTTCTGCCCTCTGAAACATTTTGACATTTGCTGGATCTGTTCCAAATATGTTTCCTGTTTTGTGGAATAACAACAAAATTGCAGATGTTCTGATTAGTACAGGGAAAAGCCAAGTGCTGACTTTGACGTTAGCACATCTGAAGCCTGTTTTGCTGTCAATGATATCAGAACCTCTGAGAGTTATTGCCTTTCCAGCAGAATCAGAACTTCTGGTTTCTCCACTAACAAACTTCTGTCTTGCAGCGCAGGGGGGTCAGAACTTCTGATTTCCCCACTAACAGGGTTCTGTTTTACAGGTGCCAGAGTCAGAAGTTCTGACTCATACAGTTTAACCAAGAGGTTGATCAT